GGCTCAAGACTGTTCTCAATGGTAGCAGATGACAGAACGAGGAGTAATGGTCTCAAGCTGCAGTGGGGGAGGTTTAGATTGGATATTAGGAAAAACTTTTTCACTAAGAGGGTGGTGAAACACTGGAATGCGTTACCTAGGGAGGTGGTAGAATCTCCTTCCTTAGAGGTTTTTAAGGTCAGGCTTGACAAAGCCCTGGCTGGGATGATTTAACTGGGATTTGGTCCTGCTTCGAGTAGGGGGTTAGACTAGATGACCTTCTGGGGTCCCTTCCAACCCTGATATTCTATGATTCTATGATTCTATGATTATTATTGGAAACCTCAGAAACCCAGTGTGAGGAGGAGAATAGTAACACTCCTATTTCACAAGTGGAGGAATAGGTACAGATAGGACAAGTGACTTCCCCCAAAACCACACAGCATGTCAGTGGCAGAGCTGAGATGGGATGTCAGGAATTCTGGCTTCCTGTGCTCTTGGGAAATATGAAGCCTTTAATCACTGGAAGAGCCTGAGTCTTTGAAACAACATTCATTTGAAACAACATTAAAAGATGGCAGAAGTTCAGGCTAGTTCCCATTGTGACAAAATGAGTTTGCCCATCCTAATTGGAATCTCTGTGTGTTGGAGCTTTAGGTATGGGTAGTTGTGTTAGTTATTTTCTAATTAGAAGCCATATGCTTCCGTAATGCTTCATAGACCTAAAAAAAGGTCCCAGTCCCATGGACCTTACAATTTAGCAAAACAGAGAAGCAAAGCCTTTATGAACCACTATGTCGGCAGTAAGGTGACAAAACAGGAAGAGGGGGAAATGTGTTTAAATTGATTTTTACGCTTGTTTGTTACAGCTTTGTTTTGTTTTAAATCCATTCAGGATCAGGTGTAAGCTCTTTAGGGGCACGGATTGTCATTTATTATTTGTGTGTACAAAGGCCAGCACAATGGGACCCAACCTGGTAGAGGCTTTTAGGAGCTACTGTAGTATGAAAGTTAAAAAGTGTGGGAGTAACAATAGAGGCCATCCAAACAGAGATTAGTGGTGGAATTACAGATCAAGAAGTGCATTTTGAAGGGTGGGTTGGAGGAGGAGAGTGAGAGTGAGGTTTCCAAGAGTGTATGGAGGAGGGAGGCTGTTCCAAGTATCAGAGTTTGGTGGATTCTCTGCTTTCCAAAGCATCTTCAGCAGGCTGCAGGACCTTTAATATCTTGTCATTTGATTGCTATCTGTGTCCGCTCACATAGCAACTGAGATGCCTTCCTAATCATTAGAATCAGAGATTCAAGTTGACCTGAAAAAGTTTTTAATTGCACTTGTGCCCTTTTTAATTTCTCCAGGGTGTATAAAGAAGCCTAAAACATTTTGTCAGTGTATTCCCTGTCTGATCAAGTCTGATCTTTCCTGATTTTTGGTGGAAGGCTCATTAAGCGTTTTCAGATCTGGACTCAGAGCTCTTTCACCTCTTAAATCATTAGGACAGGCAGTGGAAGAAAGTTAAAAATTCAGCAAGTGCTTATTTGACAGAGAAGATGAATAAGTGATAAGAAAGGGAACAAAAGGCAAAGTTTTAAACAGTCTTACTAAAAATCACTTCCAAGCTCATTTGTTTGGCTTTCAGTTAATTGTCTCTTGTGATGTCATAATTGCACCAGTTCTTCATTCTTCCATAGAGATTCAGAGCAGACAAGGCAAACAGAAAATAAAACTTTAAAAATCCTTTCCCCCAAAACCCCAGCCAACCAAAAACACAGAAAACAAACCAAACAAAAAAACCCAAACATTCACCGTAAAGAAACATAAAAAAGCATGACCCCAATTCTTTTTCATTTGGTGATTTTTCAGCTTAACATCTCATTACTTACCTAGGCTATAAACAGTCTAACAGACCAGTATAAATACTTTTGGAACCAGTAAACTTTTTTTTCTTTTTCTTTTTTTTTCTCCCAAGCATTGATCTTTGGTTGAAGAAACAGTGGAGAAAGCCTGGTTCTTCTGTCACCGACTCCTGTGTAAATTGGGAGTAACTCCATTGAATAGAATGGGCATATGTTGTTACAAAAGTGGTGCAAAAAAGAAGAGAATTGGACCCTATAGTTGGCCTCCACAACAACAACTGTACATATGTCCAGCACACAAGTGTGTTCTTTCATCAGTATAGCTTCTAATCTATTTCTCCTTCATAACAGGTGATGCTCCAGTAGCATGTAGCTGTAGAAGGTCCTTACATTCAAAGATATCCCCCTGTTCTTGGATATTGGTGGAATTGAGGTATCAAACTGGGAGAAGTAAATAACACACTGACGGAGCATTCCCCTTGTACACTATATCTAGTGCGCAATCATTAGTTGGGGACTGGTCCTGCTTTGAGCAGGGGGTTGGACTAGATGACCTCCTGAGGTCCCTTCCAACCCGGATATTCTATGATCACCCTCACTACTGATGTTCGCAAATCTAAGCAGCAAGAGTAGAGATGAAGAAATCAGAAAACAAAAGTAAGAATTGTTCCGATGGTCTTTACACTCAGTGCTAAAACCAGCTAATTTTCCTTCTCAATAATACAGGAAATACTCATAACAAATATTCTTCGAAGTTGTGCTTAGTTTGCAGGTTGATCAATGTGTCTGAGTGTAACTTAATCTTTACTAGCCTTTGGTATTTACTAAGCATGTATACCGTAGGCCTGATCAATGGACTTTGGACTGTGAAAGGTGATGGATATGCTTGCTGTCCCCTTCCATAAGGTAGAGAAATAAATAAACAATTGTTGTCACTCACTGTAGTTATTAAATTAATCTTCATGTTCATTCATTAGCTCAGACGTGCAACTGATGACTACTTTAGAGCAATCATCAACCAATGAACAAAGATTATAAAGCTGGTCAGTGGGGCAATTAGTAGAAATGATTAAACTAAAACTTTTTCCACTTTCATCCTATTATCAAGACCTGGAATAGAAAACATTACCTTTGTTGCTTTTTTTCCACCAGGGGACTGAGAGGAAAAAATATGGTGATGTCCATTTCACTTCTACTAGAGGCTAATCTGTATCCATCCCTAAGAAATGGAAGCTTGAAAATGTTTTGTATTGATTTGGGCTTTCAAATAATGGTTCAGGGATTCCAGTTTAGATTTCCAATGTGTATCGATGCTATTTTTCTTTTTTACTAGTGCTACAGGTTATTTTAATAGGACACAACTTCCTGTAAAAATAGGCAAAATAGGCAACTGAGAAATTCAGGTGGTCTTCTCCTCTTCCTTGCACGTTGACAAATGCTTTAGGATCAGCCTGCTGGAATTTTTTCAAAAAATAAAAAGACTTTTTTTTTTTTTCCCCAACAGGCAGGTGACACAGTGCTAGCAGTTTTGACAATGGAAAATATAGGCCTATTTTGAACTAAATGAAGTCTAGAACCACACTCTTTAATTTAAAAAAACAAACGAATGTGATTTCTTTTTGTTTTTCTCAAGAATGGAGAAAGTTGTTGCTTGTCTATACAGAAGGCCTAAGGCGCTTTATAGGCTGATTTGCTTCCCCTGGGCTGGCAGTGGTGCCACCCATTTTGCACAGTGGGGCAAACGCTTTGACAACGCAATAGAAGGTCAGTAATTTTTGTGTATGACAAGTACAATTTAATAAAGATGGGCCATCTGGACAGGATACTAACATGCAGAGTTGTAAGATCTTAAACAGAATATTCTCAATTCTGGTAAAGAGAGCTGAGTTATCTTTCTAATAATGTTCTTACCATGGCTCCCCCTTGCAAGGTGCTGAAAACCTCCATTGGGATGTTGAGTTCCCTCAACTTCTGTGTCACCGCAAAGCAGGTCCCAAGTGCCTGGGTTCAATACATGAATATATCTACCTTCAATTAAATTTCTTTCTCTAAGCTAAAGCAGGCTTGACTGGTTTAGAAACAGATCTGTTAAATGGGTCAGCAATACAGTAACGTTTGGTTATATTTTAAAAAATGTACATGCAGCAAAAATGCTCAAAAAGGAACATTTAAAAATTCATTTCAATATGCTGGGAAGCTGCAGACCCTTTTCCTGTGCAGAATGAATTGCAGTTAGCTACACTTCTCTGCATGATTCTCCATTCCCTGTATCAAAACCAATGTCACTCAATGGCTTTGTAACAGTAAAATGGCATTTAGTTACAGAGTGAAGTAATTCCCATGGCTATCACTTGTATCAGCCCTGGAAAAGGTTCATACTTGCACTTTTTGAAGGGGAGAAGCCATGGCTATTTTCCAGACCTTTCACAAAGAAAAGAGAATAATCTGGCATTACATGAGAGCATTAGCATTGAAATAAAACCAGTCCCCTAACTCTGAATACCTCCAGTGAATTGCTGTGCCAGTCACATCCAATTTTCCTTGAAGTAAAAAAAAGTTTTTTGTTTTGACGGAAATACTTCCAGAAAAGCTACTGGGAGAGGGGGCCCTCAAAACAATTGCAGCTACTGTTGAGTAAAATTCAGAGCAGCATGCACTTTCAGAACTGTCTTAACTGTGCTCATAAAAGTTATAAAAGGCCTGACCCTATATTTTTGTCCTGCTACCTATTGTATTATGTGGTGGCTTATTTTAAATACAATACTTTTTTGTTCTTGGTGGGTGTGACCCTCCTGCTTCCATGTGACTTTTGAAGGACACAGCCTATGAAAAGGAGAATGAAGAAACAGTAACATATTTTTACAATCTATCCCATTGTTCAGTTGCCCTATATAACAGTCCAGTAAAAATCCAGGGATGGTCCTTTGAAGACCAAGCTTCTGAAAGGAACAAACAACCATGTCAATAAATATCATGATTCCAAGTTCTACTGTGGGGAATAAGGGAAAAGAAAAAAAGATTGCAATAAAGGGTGTGCAAAAGAGTTACCAATGGAGTTAGGATTCTAGCGAGAAGGTATTTTATAGAGAACATTCATACTAGTTATTCTTCAACTATAATGTTGATTATTATTTATATTACAATAATACCTAGAAGTCCCAACTAAGATGAGGGGCCCATGTGCTAGGAGTGCTGTCAAGACCCCTAGTAAGAGAACAGTCCCTGCCCCAAAGATCTTACAATCCAAGTAAACTGGACAAATAATAGTTGGGAATAAAAAAATTAATACCAAGCCCTTGAGTGAAGCCCTTTTCATTTTGACCACAGGGTTAAAACTTCACCTAATCATTATTGTCACTAATGTAAAAAACCTTCCTTTTATGTAATTGGCTGTTAATAGTTGCTTTCTGCAAAGTAAATTAAAAAATGTGTGGTTAATTTCTGTTTTGATAATTTAAAGGCATGAATTTTAGAGTCATCTGAAATGACTATAATTTTCTTTCCCCCTCTAGTGTATTCTATAAGGCTTCCTGGAAGAGAATCTCGTGTTAATGAACCTTTTGCAAAAGACATGAAAACGATCATTAATGACATTACTAGTGTTTTGCTTCACGACTTGCAAGAGAAACCTTTTGCATTTTTTGGTCACAGGTAAAAACATCTTTTTAAATATGTGGCAAAGGAGCCTAAAATCGGTTGCTGGATACTTAGGCTTTGTCTACACTGGCGCTTTTGTTGTTAAAACTTTTGTCACCCAGGGGTGTGAAAAAACAACAAACGGTTTAATGACGAAAAGTGCCAGTGTGGACAGCGCTCTGTAGGCAGGAGCCCTGCTTGCGGCGATGAACCTATCCCCCCCCCTCCCCTTGTTGGGGGTGGTTTTATTTTGTAAAGAACAGGTACACAGCGCACCTTACAATGGCGTGACTACAGCGGCACAGCTGCGCCTCGGTAAGGTGCACAGTGTAGACAGTGACTTACTTAGCTCTTTCCCCAGAGGTGAGTGCAGAGTGCTGGACTGGCTGAAACAGAATCATAGGGTAGATCTACACTAGCAATGCTACAGCAGCACATTTGTAGACACTAGAGCTACGAAAGGGGTTTTTCCATTGTGATTCATATTCAATTCGTGGTCCACTACAACCCCCAGCTCCCTTTCTGGAGTACTACCATCTAGCCAGTTATTCTCTATTATGTATTTGTTCAATATCCTGTTTGCTGATAGTAAGAACTGTGCTTAGGTATTACCTAGACTTGGACCTCCCTTTTTTGATAAGACATGGTGCCTGAACTGGGTGTACTTCATGAGCATATGCATGGAAGGGGACTATTTGTTATATACCAGTCCAGTTGGGGCTGTGGTATAACCAAGTGGTATGTAGTGTCTGTCATTTCTGTGAAACAGTCTGATGTTACCCGTAGAAAAATCTGCTGAGTACTTTTGAAACCATCAACCGGAAGAAGCTGTTTGTCCTACTGTGTGGAATAGCAGAGGAGGACAGGACTGTTCCAGAGTAGATCTACTTGTAGATGTGGGGCTTGGGTGATTACACGCCTACCCTGAAATTACGTCTATATGGATTCTAGTGGTGATCATTTGTCATCTTTGTTGTTCTGTGTACAAGTGGAGCCACTCGGAGAACTGATATGATACCCACCCTGAGATATCTGCAGTATGCCTAGATCTACATTACTGTATTCCTGCAGCTGAGCAGTTCCTTTCCTGCCTAGCTGAATTTGAAAGGATGGATATGGGACAGTGCAGATAAGACTGAGCTATTGCTTCTCAATACTGGAAAACTTCTGGAGCATATTGCTTCCTCAGTAGCTCTCCTCTCTCTTAATGGGATTTACAGAACTGGATTCATGGCTGGGCAGTCAGTTATGACCATAAGTGGAATATGGAGGCCCATACTGTGGTGGAGGTCAAAAGTGGCTTTTTCCATTTTCAAAATATTTGGAAGTTTACTTGTTCTGAATGGAGATCTCTCCATAGTAATCCACACCTTGCTATTTTACTGCAATGACCTGCTTTGGGATATCCTTGAAAGTCAACTGTCAGCTAGTATATATTACAGAGCTTATGCCTGTCAAAGCACATATAACATAAAGCCTTAACTAATAAATGACCACACTCTGGGCTGCACAGTGTTCGGCCTTCTCTCTGAGAGTGGCATGTGAAACAAACAGACTTGGAACTGCTCACTGTTTCACCCTGCAGGCCAGACCCTCTGCTGGTGCACATCGGCACAGTCCCATTGAGGCAGAGTACTTTCAGTCAGCAACTTGTCTTTAGAATGCGTGGCACACGAGATGCCAAAATACATCAGTGGCACTGATGAGGGGGGGCAAATTATGCCACTTCTGAGATCTGTTTGTTTATGGCCATGATCTCTCTCTGGTATCTATATAGGCCCCCATCATTGTAGCACTTCATAATCTTTACCGTGTTCAACCTCACAACACCCCTGTGGGTCAGGGAAGTCTACTAGCCCCATTTTACAGAGAGGGAATGGACACACAGAGAGACTAAATGACTAGGTCAAGGTCACGCCATCTGTGGGAGAGCAGGGACTAGCGCTCACGCTAAGCTAGTGCCCTAACCACTGGACCATCCTTCCTCAGTTGCTTTTTTGACATTCTTGTTGATTATGAGTATATCGGTCAGGGTCAGAACCTTTCAGGTACAGATACCTTCCAAATAAGTGTGTTAGTGTAATAATCATTACTTATGACTGTTTACTCCTAATAGTAATATTGCTGCTTACACTAACAATGGACGAGCAAATGGATTTTGAAGGTTACTTAGTTTTCAAGGAATATTCAAAGCATTCAGTCATATTGTAAGCAAAGTGAAACAGTGAAAGAAGCAAAAGTGCTGTATTAGGTCTGATCTGCAATCTGATTTCACTTTTACATGTGAATTGACTAGCATCATTACTCTTTAAATTGTTGTTTTCTAAACAATTTACTTCTAGTAATTAGGGACCTATAACACACTGCACCAAGGTACTATTTTATTGTTTCAAAGAATGTTTACCACAGTAATTGTACCTTATTAGAGTTGGGATTCTAACTGCGTTTAATTGTGTCCTGAAAGATACGTTTTTAGTCAGATTAATTTGGCTTCTCTTTTCAATGCAGTTTTGGATCATATGTTAGTTTTGCGGTTGCAGTACACTTGAAAGAAAAATATGGACTACAACCAGTGCATCTTTTTATATCAAGCGCAGGTGCTCCACATGTAAGTGATATAATCTTTGATAATATGAAATAAAATAGTATTTAGCTATACATCATCATGTATAAAGTACCGGCTTTGGCCCTCCAAAGTGCAGCTGACTCTACTCTAGTATGCAGAGTTTAGTAATGTCTACAGAGAAAAGACAACCACTGCACATGAGGATTCATGCATATATATTCCATTATCTGTGGGGAGCTTAAATTGAGGTTGTTAGAGCATCGCACATTACTTGTTACGGTGATGCACTTACTAGTCAGATAGGCATCCAGGCAAAACCTAGCATACCCTTCCTCCCAGAAATGGAAGTGTACATCACCCTCCTAACACATAGTACCCTCTCCTGGACCTCCTGCTAAGTCCTTGGTACCTTTGCCTTCTGCTTAATTCCCAACCCCATTCTTTGGTGGCTTTGCCTCTTTCCTCACCGCTCCTTAGTTCCTGGTGGTTCTGCCACTCTTCTCAGGGGACCAGCAGGGATTTGGCCATTTTCCCCATGCAGCTGCTTCTCATGCACCAGCTACTGCTTCTCCCTCCAGGCTATTTAGAAACAGTGTTTTTGGATGATGTCTCATACCTCCATGGAAACAATGTTTCCTGCAAGGTTTCTGGGCCCTGGGGTCTCTCAAGCCCACTGCAGCTGGATTTATATCCACAGTTCTGCTTCACTGTCTGATAAAGACATTATTTTGGTAGTTTGGTTTCAGCATTTAGAATAAAAAATTCACAGCAAAAATTGAATAGCCTTTATATTTCTGTCTCCCTCACAAGTTACATTTTCAGAAACTACTGTCTAGCAGCAAGAGACAGACACAAAGCTTTAGCAATGCCTTTTGTTATAATCCATTGAATAACCAGTACAGCGTGTTCTACAGAAGTATTCGGGCAGCCTCTTTTCCACTCCAAGATTATCATCTCTATAAAGATTATGTGACTTCTGAAACCAACCAGCCACTAAATCATAATGCCACTATTATATTACTATGCTATTGGGGACAGGGGAAAATACTACAGGTTAGATGTTCTTTAAGCTTCTTTCCTAAGACTTAAATCTTTTAGGGACAGTTGTTTACAGTGTATTTTATGAAACACCTAATATATATTGTATGATGCTTTCAGGCAACATTTTGTTACCCTCTCCACACAGTAAAAGACAAAGACGAAGACGAAATTATCAAAAAGATACAGTCTCTTGGAGATACACTTCCTGAGTTTCTGCAGAACAAAAATGTTATGAAACAATATATTCCTGCATTAAGAGCAGATCTTGCAGTTGTTCAGTCCTTTCTGTAAGTAGCACAGTTTTACAGTATATTCTGAGAGTCGGATTATTCATTCATAGTCTAAAATAGAACATTCACCTCTACTGAGACCTATCACACAAGGATCTCCCATTTTTGTCCCTGAATCTTTGTTTTCATGATAAAAGCATTTGTGTAATAGAAACAACAGCATTTTTAAAGATCCAGCCTAGAATCTTAAAGGTAGAACAACTCTCTCTCCTTCAGTTCTTCCCCATCCCATTTATAGGAAGTAAATGGCAGGTTGCATTCTGTACTAAAGAGTACATTGGCAAAGTGTTTTATTATGTTTTAGAGGGGGAAGAGAAAAAGATATTTTGCATGTGGAGGGGGAATCTAGAGTGGAAAGATTCAAGCTCTCCTTTCTATTCACAGCTTTGAGGAACTGGTAATAGATGGTCTCTCTTGTGGCCTTACATGCTTTGGTGGGTCTGAAGATTGGCCATTGGATTTAGAAGGTATCTAGTAGTGTGCTTTGCCTCTAATATTTAGCTGTACTTCTGTTGAATCAGGTTAATGAGCAGCTCTGTCTATAATCTCATTTTAATTGATATGGAAATATGAAGGACTCTTGCAGTATATGAGCCAGAATGATTCATAAGGAATTAGTAATAATCTTGAAACAAGTTACGTAAAACAATTACACAAGCTGATATTTCTCTCGTGCTTTACATATTTATTTCTCTTTCAGCATGGAAGGATGTAACAAGTGGAGATACCACTATTCACAAGCTTCCTGGAGGACACTTTTATCTGCTGGACCCTGCTAATGAAATGTTCATGGCAGACCACATGACAAAATGTATAGAAACTGCTGATCTCTGAGTATTTGTCTTTATTTTGTTGGGAGGGGGTCAAAGATTAGTCCAAAGCAGTAAATAATAAGGAATATTTTCTATACATCTTTTCAACTACCACAATGGCAAGGTAAGCAACTTTCTGTAGCAGTAGGGCTAAGAGTTGATGTATTAATATTGGTGAATTTCTACAGCCAAAGGTTTCTCCAAGATATAATTTATGACAATACTTAGGAAAATTCTGATTCTTAAAAGTAAACAGCCAGTACATTAATTTGCTTCCCTGTGGTAGTTAGTTTGGGGCTGGTGGGAGGATGGTAGGCTAAAAGCATTGCAAACTTAGTAAGTCGGGCTTCAGTGGCTTCCCTCTGCCTTTACCATAGTTTTTCTATACCAGCATTTCTATGACTGTAACAGAAGGGAGATATATTTGTGCAAATATTTTTATCCATTATTGGATCCAGGAAGTAACTAATGTTTCCTTTAAATCTGTACTCTTTGAGACCTCATTAGCCTGACTCAGCTGTCTTAAAAACTACTCTTCTTTTTCTTTCTTTTTAAATCCCCCTGTATCCCATTACATCTTTTGGGGAAAAAAGACAGGTAAGTAGTTTTGTCTTCAGAATTTACTTTGGCTGGATAGGAGGAGGAATCTGATCTTTCTGCCTTCTCAAAAAAAGGGAAAAAGAAGAGTGTTTAAAACCCTAAATAAATCTTGTAAGTAAAAATTTATTTCAAATAAGTACAGTTAGTGTCTGAAGAAGTACAGTGCATGTGTAAATACTCCCTTGTAGGTAAATAGCTCATGTTGGTAAATCTTAGTGTCAAACTAAACACAAAAATGTTAGTATTGTATTTTTTTCCTCAAAAGAGTTAGTTCATTAGCTACTGAAAAGTTAATGAATTATTTAGGGGAATTACTGTGGAGTATTTTAGATCCCATATTTTTCTATCATCTCTCTTGCTTTAGAAATATAGGCAGTCATGGCGTCCTCCTTTGATAAACCTGCAAAGGAAAACAGTAGTCGTTACCTTTCCTTATTTGGTATTCTAGAACATTGATTACTTAGTGTCAACTTAATGGTAAAAACACCTTTTTTAAGGTTCCATGCTTCCCATTTGGCTTTGGCTTTCAGATCTAGCATTCCTGGACACTCTGCCAAAAACAGAAAAAAACCCCCACAAACATTTGTTGGTTATTGTACCATTTTACATAAAGACTGTTTAGTTGTAATAAATTTACAGAATTAAATGTGTGTGTTGTGGTGGTGGTGGGGGGGGGGGGTTGCGTGCGCGCACACACACACACACACACACACACACACACAGTACCAGTATCAATGTCTCCAACAGTAGACTGTTTGTAGAGTCCATATAGTTCCTTCAGCTCATCATCGCTTGGCCTCGTTTTTAATTGTTTTACATCTTCTGCAGCACTGTCAAAATCAGCCTGAAGAGAAGGGAGGGAGAATCAAACAATGGAGTATTAGACATTTTAACTCCTATGTTGTGTGCTTTAGGCTTTGTAGCATCCTCATAAATGTACTAATTGCTTCCCTGTCATCAGTGATATGTAAAGGTAAATGCCTCTCAGTACTTCCCTAATCAAATTACAGTTGGCCAGAATTTTGGCCAACTTGGCTGATAAATCAATACTGTTAAAAGAAGCCAACCCTCTCCTCCCAAAAGAGAATACATATTTTTTACAGCTAAATAATTGGAACCATATACAGCCTGATTGGTGTAATGGAATGTCACAGGTATGATCATGCAAGCTGCTTATAAATTCTATGAACTACAGGTCTGTCATAAATATAAAGGGAAGGGTAAACCCCTTTGAAATCCCTCCTGGCCGGGGAAAGCTCCTCTCACCTGTAAAGGGTTAAGAAGCTAAAGGTAACCTCGCTGGCACCTGACCAAAATGACCAATGAGGAGACAAGATACTTTCAAAAGCTGGGAGGAGGGAGAGAAACAAAGGGTCTGTGTGTCTGTCTATAGTCTGTCTTTGTCGGGGATAGACCAGGAATGGAGTCTTAGAACTTTTAGTAAGTAATCTAGCTAGGTATGTGTTAGATTATGATTTCTTTAAATGGCTGAGAAAAGAATTGTGCTGAATAGAATAACTATTTCTGTCTGTGTATCTTTTTTGTAACTTAAGGTTTTGCCTAGAGGGGTTCTCTATGTTTTTGAATCTAATTACTCTGTAAGATATCTACCATCCTGATTTTACAGGGGGGATTTCTTCATTTCTATTTACTTCTATTTTTATTAAAAGTCTTCTTGTAAGAAAACTGAATGCTTTTTCATTGTTCTCAGATCCAAGGGTTTGGGTCTGTGGTCACCTATGCAAATTGGTGAGGCTTTTTATCCAACATTTCCCAGGAAAGGGGGGGTGCAAGTGTTGGGAGGATTGTTCATTGTTCTTAAGATCCAAGGGTCTGGGTCTGTAGTCACCTAGGCAAATTGGTGAGGCTTTTTACCAAACCTTGTCCAGGAAGTGGGGTGCAAGGTTTTGGGAAGTATTTTGGGGGGAAAGACGTGTCCAAACAGCTCTTCCCCAGTAACCAGTATTAGTTTGGTGGTGGTAGCGGCCAGTCCAAGGACAATGGGTGGAATATTTTGTACCTTGGGGAAGTTTTGACCTAAGCTGGTAAAGATAAGCTTAGGAGGTTTTTCATGCAGGTCCCCACATCTGTACCCTAGAGTTCAGAGTGGGGGAGGAACCTTGACAAGGTCTTTCATATCCATAGTCTGAGTTGAGGGCAGGGATGCAGAGGAACTACCCTGGGTGGCGGCTGAAATTTCCCCTGGGGAAGACTAGCTTCCGCTTCCACCCACGGCCCCACCCAACACTCTATCCCTGCTCTGCTCCAGGTCCCAACCCCACATGGCCCCCTCCCCACTCAGCTCCCTCTGCCACTGATCGCTGCCTTCTCCTCTCCTCCCCCCTCCCCCTGCTGCTCCCCGCGTCCCTCCTCTTCTCCATGCTCCCCCTCCACCGCAAGGCCCCCGCTGCCCACAGGGATGTGGTGAGCAGCAGGGCCTAGTGGGGGGGTGGAGTGCAGGAAGGAGGGAATCAGCCACGCAGTGGCGGGCGGTGGGGGCCTCCGGGATGAGGCAGAGCAGGGACAGGAAGAGGCGGAGCACAGATGGGGCCACCATGGTCCAGGCATCCGGTTGCAGAGCAGCAGCGGCTGCACCAGGGGAGGCTTAGCCTCCTCTGGCCTATTATACCCCCCGCTTATGGGAACTGCACCCACAAAGCAGTTCCTGGAGCTGTAAAGCCCTTTGAAAAGATGCTGAGTACACTCCCACTTTGTTTTCAATTCTTTGCTGCCAGTGCAACTGTGTGTGCGTGCGTGGCAGTGGTGATGAAACTGTATGGGGGGGGGGCTGGGCTAATCCATTACATAAACACAAAGGGGGCGATTTGGGTTTGAAAGTCTCTTTTCACCTTAACCACACTGAGCTAGCTGCTATCTGTCCCTATGTTACTGGTCCCAGGCGAGTCCTTAGTTCAGAGTTCTCTACCCTTTTCCAAAACCACCTACATATTTTTCTGTGACTTCAGAGCTTCCGGTCTTTTGCACTCGGTTAGCCCCGAAGTCCAGATAATGTAATTCACAATCTGTTAGTTTCAATTATTTGTAAAGCAAATACATAACTCTACATAACAATGCAAAATATTACTACATGCATTTTTTTTGAAAGTTTCATCTAAAGTTTGCTATATTTGCAAGAATGACATTGTAAAACACTAGGGTGTATGTTATACATATGTTTAGTATTTGTAAATTAAAATGTTTTCCCTACAAGTTTGTGCTATAATATGCTATGTATTAAAGTCACACAGTGTTCCTTTAGCTGTCAATTTGACTTCTGTGGCTTGGTCTCATCAGCAGGGATTGGGGAATTGCCTTTGCATTCTACCCAAGCAGGATGCAAACAGCCTCTCCATACTGGTTAAGAGCTCTTATGATTCAGGTGAGAACTTCCCTTGCAAGGAGAGAAGTCAGCCCCACCCCCATACTTTAGAACACATCCTAGCACATATCTGTGTCTTAACCCTGAAACCGTCCTGGGCGAGTGACTGTACTGGCTGGAACAGGCCCCGGAAATAAACAACTAAGGAGCAACTTCTGATGCTTTGTGCTTTTACTGTCACCTACTTGAGTGTTCTGTCCTGCAGTCCCCCCGTGAACAAGGAGTAAAAGAAACACAGATTACTGTGGCTAAAAAATGAGGGTTAGGGAAATGGAAAAGAATTAATGAGAGGCTGCATTCTTGTCCTATTCTTTCCTTTCAAAGGACCCATCATGCGATCACAAAACTGAGCGCTCATCAACTTAACGATGCATCAGCTGATGCTAGCGCATTCAGGCAGTAACGTCATGTAGAAGTATGCAAGGACAGTTAGGTAGCTGCATTGCAGTGTTTATCCACAGAGGCCTGGCCCTTTTCCACCTTGTGAGTTAATTGCTGCTGCCTGAGGTGGAAAGAACGTTTGATTTTTTCTGGAAATGGATGGATGGACTCTAAGAGGGCGGAGATCATCTTAGCTGATACCTAGAAGACAGTTTTGAGGAGTCTGCAGGTGAGACAGTCCTAGGGTATATCTACACTGCTATTAAAAACCCATGGCTGACTTGGGCTTTTGGTTAAGGGGCTGTTCAATTACAATGTAGAAGTTCAGGCACGGGCTGGAGCCTGCGCTCTAGCACCCTGTGAGGTGGGAGGGTCCCAGGGCTCGGGCTGCACCTGAGCACTAATCTACACTGGGTAGCATGGTACTTTTATTATCTGGGGGGTTCTATTTTTTTTTTTTTTAACTAGAAGTAAAAGCATCTGCGTGGCCAAGCCCAGGAACTCTGCTAGCTAGAGATGTAAATGGTAATAAAACAAGGTGATTGGGAAGGATAATGCCAACTGGATGTGGAAGAGGCTGGCCAGAACACTGGAAAAAATCTTCATTTTTGACTAGGTCACACAGGCAGGAGCGGTCAGAGATGCGGTTTTAACCCTGGGGTGTGTAGCTGTGCAAACTTCTGATTTGAAGTTATGGTTTCATACCCAGTAGGGATCAGGTTGGGACAGTGCATTTCATTTACTTCTAAATTTAGACACTTGGACACAAATCTCCATGAAAAGGGTTTTTTGACATCTAATCTTCAAGTGCTTTGCAGTGGTTGAACATTCCACCCTAACTCTCCTAAAAGGATAAAAAAGTGGACACAACAGACTCACTGATAGCTTCTGCTGAACTACCAGGTGGACCGTTGACATCAACCCTTGTTATTCCAGCCCTCTTTAAAATGTTAATTGAGACATGCTTGTTCTGACATTGTTCACAGTTAGGTAAAATTTGCAGATGATACAAAACTACTCAAGATAGTTAAATCCAAAGTTGACTGCAAAGAGTTAGAATGGGCTCTCAGAAAACTGGGTGACTGGGGGACAAAATGGCAGATGAAATTCAATGTTGATAAATGCAAAGTAATGCACATTGAAAAACATAATCCCAACTATACATACAAAATGACAAGGGTCTAACTTAGTTGTTATCATTAAAGACAGAGATCTTAGCATCATCTTGGATAGTCCTCTGAAAACATCCACTCAATGTGAAGCGGCAATTAAAAAAGCTAGCATGTTAGTAACCATTAGGAAAGAGAGAGATAATAAAGCAGAAAATATCTATATATCTCTATATCCATAATATGCCTACACCTTGAATACCTTCTATACAAGAAGGAATTAAAAAGACTGGAACTGTTCAGTTGAGAAGAGAGCCAACTAAGGGTGGGGGGAGGGTATGTGATAGAAGTCTATAAAATCATGGATGGTGTGGGGAAAGTAAATAAGGCAGTGTTATTTACCCCTTCACCTAACACAAGAACTAGGGTGTTACTTGATTAAATTAATGGGCAGCGGGTTTAAAACAAACAAAAGGAAGTATTTCTGCACACAATGCAAAGTCAACCTGTGGAACTCATTGCCATGGAATGTTGTGAAGGCCAAAACCATAACTGGGTTCAAAAAAGAATTAGATAAATTCATGGAGGGTAGGTCCATCAATGGCTATTAGCCAAGATGGCCAGGGATGCAATCCATGCTCTGGATGTCCCTCACCTGCAATGGCCAGAAGCTGGGACTACAGGACAAGGAATGGATCTCTTGATAATTGCCCTGTTCATTCCCTTTGAAGTATCTGGCACCGGCCAACCGTGCTAGACAGATACTGGGATAGATGGACCATTGGGCTGTCCCACTATGTCCATTTTTATGTTCTTAACTATATAACAGCAACTAAAGTTTCCAAACAGATTTCTACCTAAAAAAAGACAATAACCTGACCAAAGACTGGCCAGCAGATTGAGATTTTTAGATGTTAAGTAACAATGGTAAGGCAGTGTTCAGCCAAGTCGGATGTCCCGGATACGTGTTTGGAA